AAATTAATTTTTTGAAACCCAATTATTATTCACGTATTTATAATACACAAGAACAAGAAAAACAGCTTTAAAACCTAATAAAACTATTTTTATCGTATTTTAAATATTGGGTATGTGATACCCCACGTTCCAACTCTTGTAACTTTTCTTGTTGCGACTTCTGACGGGTAAGTGCAAAGAAAATGATATTTAATAAATAAAGGTAACACAGAAAACGTTAAAAAACCCCTTTGGGCGTAATACAAAAAAAATCTCAAAACTTTCAGATTTTTTTTTTTTCCAAAGTATTTAATGATCCAAAAGTAGGCGTATACAAATATGACTTTTTTGTTTTTGTTTTTTATATTTCTTTAATAAATTCGTATATTCCCATTTCATACAAATCAGATTGTAAATAAATAATAATTAAATATCCATACATAAACATCTAATAAAAATCCGATAACACATTTCCATGAAAACTAAGTATTCTTAAGTATTTTAACAGTTACAGGTCAGAACTATATTCCAAGTTCGACCACGCGAAAGAGTGTTGCCAGTGCACGGTAATGAATAGATGTAAATTAATTACGACAGGCGTGAAAATAAACAGCTTATATAATTTCTGTGTGTTCTAGATAGAAATTTGTAAGGGAAGAAAGCATACTTCCCCATAGATAGCTCTCGAGTGCTTTGCCTTAACCCTTTATGTACATTTGACGAGTGAGACTCGTCATATGTTTACTTGGACGAAGTAACGGTGGACGAGTCTGACTCGTCATCTGAATTTAAGAAGCAGGCGTTGATGTTTGCTGTGCTTGATTATATCACCAACACAAGTATATTCTAAATAAAATGTATTACTTTTACATATTAATCCATATAGCGACAAATTAAATCCGTCTCATGGGCATAAAAATCTTGAAATAATTCAGTACTCAAAGAGTTAATAATGTAGACCAACCGTAGTGGCTCAAAAATCCTTACCCGTCCTTGAGTTTCGCAATCGCTGGTCATAGTCATATACTTCGAATTACAGCAGAATTTTAAATGGCAAATATTCATATTTTGGCAATTTTAAATTAAACAAAAAAATAAATTTTGACAAATAACGAAATTTAGCTTTCAAGTATGATTTCTAGATTCCTATATTTGTTTTTGGTAAGGTTTATTTATTCTCATAAACTATTCTCATCACATTTTTGTGTGTATTTCTCAGTCTATTGTTGCGGATGTTTTACTTCTCTATAATAAATGTGTATTTTCACATTTTATAATGTTGTTATGCTTTTATAATATGAAACTTTACGTATTTATTTATTGTAATTTACGGTGTCGCTTGTAAAAATGTGCTGGTTGTTGATGAAAACTTTTGGCAGAAACTTTTGGCAGAAATTTGTCAAAACATTAGCAGTTTGTCGACTTACAGGGCGCTTTTGTCCTATAATTTGTCCTCGTTTGTCGACGCTTTCACGCAAGACGCGCTTGTGGGTGCGCAGACACCCCGCAGATTTACTAGAAATCAGTCTTTTCCATCTCTTTTTGAGAAAGAATTAAAGAGAGTAAGCCTAATTAAAAAGTCACGATTAAACTCGGCTCTGGGTACCAGCACAGATCTCAGTAAAAGTACTTTTGGGTAAAATTTTTATTAAAAAAAAATTAACAAGCATAATCTGAATGCAACACTATTTTAACCGTTAAACACTTTATAATTGGTTGTCCAAATTTTAATCGCTTTCGAAATTTGTATACTTGTTAAATTTCAGCAAAAGATTTAGTTGGTAAAGAACCACATTTTAACATTTTTTAACTTTTTGAAAGCTACAAAGTTTTACCATATTTTTTGAATGCCCTGAATCCAATATGGGTTTCGGGCCCACCAGCGGCCGAGCGGTAAAGTCGCTGAACACTGGTAGTTCGGTCCGAGGTTCGAATCCCGCGAACGGGCTGGCTGCATGGGAGTTTTCGTGGTTTTCCCATGTGTAACGTGTATACGAGCCAGTTTCCCTTAGAAAGTCCTCCACGAAAGGCATCCCTCCCCTTAGGCAGATAGCCCTCGTGTGCTTTGCCATAATTAAATACACCAACACCAACACCAATATGGGTTTCAGAAAATCTACCCCGTATCTAGTTTTATTCATATCATCAAAATTTATCATTTAACTATACATTTTTCTATCTGTATTTTCATGGATTTCATATTGTTACGAAATGTCCAGGTACGGTGATATAGCTTCCCCAGAAAGCAGGCTTAAGGTTGCCATAAAATGCAGGGTTGCCACATTTGGCGAGCTATCGCCCATTTGGCGACATTTGGCGATATGGCATGAACGGATGGAGAACCTTCTGGAACGAATTCTTACCGCTTTAGCCCAGAATATTCTCGAACACAAGCCAAAAGCTATATAAACCCTGCTTGTACGCGTAGAGTTAGTGTCTAGTCAGTCAGTCAGCCCGTGCGGAACCGATCGAGTTGACAGCCGGACAGTGAGTGCCGAGTGGGTCGTCGAATGCATCGAAAGAGTCTCTTAGTGTATCGCGCGGTTAGTGCATTGTCGAGAGAGTGTGTTGAGCTCCGGGAACGACTGGGCCGAGGAGTCGGGAGCTGTGCTCTGTGTGTCGTCGAGTGCATCGCAAGTTGTAGCGTGGAGAGTCTCGAGAGTACGTGGAGTTTCCGAGAACGAACGAGTCAGTATTGTCCTGAAAATACTGGCCAGTAAAGTGTGTTTCGATGTTTCATCGAGTGCTGTTGTCGTTATTCACTCGAAACACCGTACGTACGTAACGTAAAGGATGAAAACAACGCAACAACTGGTGTCAGAAAATAACGCAACAATATCCTGGTTTTTCATAAAATAATTTTATGTGTTTGATCTTATTGCTTGCTGTTTTATACATACCTGTCTTAAATTTCCACTCGTATTCTCTATTATCTTAAGTTTTGGAAATACACAACTTTTTGTCTGGCGCAACATAAGCCCCATGGTTTTTGTGCCAAAAATCTCCATCCAACCAACCATTACAAGCAGAATCTAATAAATTTAATCATATACGTGTAATTATTGATGTGAATGTGGTTGGACCATGAGACTAAGACATTCATTGAAAACAGCAATCGTAATTTCAGTCCTCCATATGCACTTCCCATAAAAAAAAAGGACCCCTTTGAATATGTGTCTTGTTTTGTGACTTATATCACTTGTCTGAGAGTAACATCCGAACAGGCAGACAAAATTCATCGTCAAAATGAGTATAACATTGTGCCTGTCAATAGCCTTGAGCACCATACAGGGGACAGCACGATTTTGCTCACCTCCGCGCCCCCTATTGTGACGGAGAGCACTCGGATGGACGGGTCGGAATATCTCCCACCCTTTTTTCTTTGCCAACAACCTCTCGAAGGAACATTCGGCTAGACGCAAATTTAGAGTGCCCTCATTCCGCACAGTACTATATATTTACAAACATCCAAGCCTTCTTCAGTATTCGAATCCGGTCCCATCGTCGCTGATCATTTTCCAGGTTGTGCCACCGCCCTGAATATTAAGAGGCTTAGCAATGGCAGCAGAGCAACAATTTCAGAGATATTGAAATCATAAGTTGGGGAACCTTTCAGATCATCGAGTTGATTAATTAGAAATTCGTTAAAGTTTTAGAAAATATGAGGGTCCACCAGCGGCCGAGCTGTTAAGACGCTGAACACTGGTAGTTCGGTCCGAGGTTCGAATCCCGCGAACGGACTGGCTGCATGGGCGTTTTCGTGGTTTTTCCCCGTGTGTAACGTGTATACGAGCCAGATTCCCTTAGAAAGTCCTCCACGAAGGCATCCCTCCCTTTAGATTAGATTATGGCAAAGCCTCGTGTGCTTTGCCATAATTGAATAACCCAAAAAAATTAGAAAATATGAAATAAACAATAATCAAAACTCAGGCTTCCAGGTGTCTATGTTCAGGTGGAGGACTACGTTATTCAGAATTTGATAACTAATTGCCGTCGTTTTTTTCAAAATATAAGGGTACATTCATGCAGATTCTTCATTATTTTAATTTTTTCATTATTTAATACAGGGAGATAATATTTGGTGGCAAAAAAGCGATTCGCCGTTTAAACTTGACTACACAAAATGCGGGGAATAATATCCCATTCCAGCTAATGCCCTTTTGAGCTAATAAATACATAGCTGGAGAAACATAACTGACAGATCAAATAATTCTACTTATATTATCAGGTTCAATGTTTCTTCTAACCTTCTTCGGAAACATACAATGACCTGACTAGAACAGAGAACTTACTAAAGCTATGTTCACTAATTGTAGTAAGTAGACAGGATACAGACGAAGGGTATACAAAACCCTTTATTTTTTTTCTTTATATACAATGACTTCCGTACTTCGGAATACAATGACCCTCCACTCGGGGTCTAACTTAAAAGATATCAAAATAAACTAAACTCTAATTTAACTTTAGAATAAGATTGGCCTTATAATAACAGGAAGCGTATGTAGCACAGAGACTGTGAACACTACAATACGTTTAATTTATCAAGAGGATTAAAACCTCTGGCCTGGAAGGCAAAGTAGCCCAACTGCGTAACTTCTAAGGTAAGCGGCCTGCTTCGAACTCACGGCTTACCTCTCTTCGCTTGGCAAAAAGGCCACACTTAAATACTTGGCGTTCGCCAGACAACTTTGCATAAACTCCTTCACGCTTATAATTCTGGCCGGAAGTAGAAAATAAGAAGTGATAGTAAAGATTTAAAATAAAATAAACGTTAGTAAAACTTAAGATCCTTACAATATGTGTGAGATACAAGCAAGCTCCAGAATATGTCTATTGAAATAACACTCAAACTACTACAGTAACCTCATTTAGTACAAGATATTTTTTAAATGTTTATACTTGAGTGAAAACGCAATCTTCCTTTAATGATTTCGTTAAGAATGTATTTTATGTGTACATGTTCTTCATACTCATTAATTTTCACATTGTTTATTTCCTTATGAAAGCATTTTCATTTGCAGGGATATTCCACGTTTTATCTACATACAAGATTTACCCGAATCAGCTTCTCATAAAGATATTAGGAAGGTTTTTGGGCATTTCCAAATCCCAGAAGGTGGCATATTTATAAACGGTCAACATGCATTTGTTTCATTGGAAACAGGAGAGGATGTAGCCATTGGTTTGTTCAAATCCCAGCGTATGTTTCAAGGAAAGATGATACATTATACCTCTGTGAGAAGAGACGAAATGGAAAAGATAATTATTAGGAACGTAAAACGTGTATTAAAATTCCCTTTGCCGAATTATTCTGGAAGAGATTACAAAGCGGAGGTGGATTACTTATTAAAGCTGAAGATCCATAGTTGCAGAAGAATAAGGCCGACAGCAGTCTGTAAGGTGAAAGCTGGAAGTTCTGAACCAAACAGTATCTTTCGTCCGAAAGAAACCGTAGTTCCTCAAGATGGCTGCGCTAAGAATCAACAGGAAACAGCCGTTGGAAAAACAGTTTCAAGAAAATTTCGGAAACTTAGAAGAATTCATCCGACGCCTGTTGTCGAGGTGGATGAGAAGGAATTAGAACGTATCTTTGTGGTGGGAGAAACAGAACATAAAGCCATCGAAAAAGATGAAACTGAATGATTCGTAATTTGCTATTTCTTCTTGAATGTAAAATGATCTGATAATTGCTTAAGTGTCTGTTCGTACATCCCCGTGGTCAAAGTAAAGGACTGAAAGTTAAATATCTTACCGGTGGAAGAAACTGAGGAAATAAAGTTATTGAAGAAGAGAGATGATTCACAACGTGCAATCCTTTCTTAAATGTGAAATAATTTTATTCGTGTTTAAATTCCGGTAACCAAAAAAAAAAAAAAAAAAGTACGGTGATCATGTATAAATTTTAAATTAAAAGTAATGTATAACTAGATAATTTAAAAGTAAAGGTACAACGTTTAAAATTTTTATGTATCAGTAACCCTTTAATGTATCAGTAACCTGTTTTTTCATACTTAACATTTATTTGCATTGAAATAAATACTTTTATTGATGAATTCCTTGTATTGTTTCATTTAGGTATTCTATGCAGATTTTTTTTTCGTGGTTTGTATATTTAAGTGCTTTCTTTTTATGTATTTTATGGTTTTTAAAAAATTAATCCACTAAGATATATAAAAAGAAATTATAGTTAATTTTCAAAATGATTGATTAATGCAAAACACGAAGAGGATTTATATATCTACTATCGCGGAATAGTTACTAACCTGGTTCATATTAGTGTTACACATGACAGAAAATCAGTTACTAATTAATTTTTCACATTTGTAGTACTGTCTATATATTTCATGGAATAATGGTTGCCAGAGCCTCAAGGACGTCTACGTCCAACCCAATTTTGAGGGTTAGCACTCCGCTGTGTGGGGGGGAAGGGTTCGAGGGTCTCCTAACCCTCTCCCCTTCTATCAAACTACACGAGAGAAGTTTCAGCTAGCTGTATATTTAGATTGGCCCCCCATGCCTCTGACACTATCCATGCAAACAACCATACCCTCTCAACATGCTCGCTGTACCTCCTGCTGTG